ACTAATAGAATGACTTTTTGTGCCTCACCAGTCTAGTAAGGGACCCATTATGTGATCTTAAATTATCCTTTGACTTTAATATCCTTCAGAAATGAAAAATAAGTATTACAGTATCATGTTACTATCATGTTGCTTTATTATAGAGATAACTGAGGGGGGAAAATGGAACTGAAAAGATTAAGATATAAACCTAGAAAAGGATTTTATAAAAGCTGTTTATTAATACTGTAATATAATAATGTTTCCATTTTAGAGAAATTACTATCACTGTTGCCTGAGTATGTAGTTCCATATATGATTCACCTGCTAGCCCATGATCCAGATTTTACCAGGTCACAAGATGTTGATCAACTTCGTGATATTAAAGAGTAAGTCATACTATTAAGAACTCTAAAAATTAAGTTTACTTTTTTTAATGCAATCTAAAAATGCTGTTATTCCCCTTGAAATATAAACCTTTTGATGGTTTTGTGTTTATTATGGACTGTAAGCCTCATCTTCCAAAATTCTCATCTAAAAAGTTCTTTTTGTTTTGTTTATTTCCTACTTGTTTGTAGTTAGCTGTCTTGAATCTTTGAAACTGGTTTGTTTGTGGTTATTTTAACTTTTAATACATTAGGTTTACTGTTTGTAATAAGATGGGCTTCAGTTACTTCATTTTGAATTTAGAAATTCATGCAGTGAAGATCTGTCTCCTTAAAAACTGAAGTTTACTTTTTTTTTCTTTCTTTTTAAAGATTTATTTATTCATGCATACAGAACTGGGGTACAGGCCAGAGATGTGGAGGGTGAGAGGATTCACCAGGGACAGAGTGGGGAGCAGAACAGGCAGATCGACGAAGTACACTGCTGAGGGGAGCAGCGGGTGGGTCAGGAGAGGTCTGCCATACCATGTGGTCACCTCCGGGGCAGGCGGAAATCGAACTCATGCGGAAGCAGCTTTAGATTCTCAGTGCTGTGCTTTAACCCGCTGCGCCACCAGGGAGGGCCCCTGAAGTTTACTTTTAACCTCAAAAAAAATGCCTTAAGGGCCTCCCTAGTGGCGCAGGGGTTAAAGTCTCAGCGCTACTAAGCAGTTACCAGTCATTGTACATGAGTTCGACTCCAGGCCAGGGAGCTAACCCACATGGTGCAGAGACCTCCTGTCTCTACCACTTATCCCCTTACCAGTGTATTTCGGTTAATCTACCTGTTCTACTCCCCACTCTGTCTCTAGTGACTCCTCTTACTGCCACACCTCTGGCCTAAACCCCAGTTCCTATATGCATAAATAAAAACAAAGTAATGCCTTAAAATATGTACACATACATGAAACATTCTCTGATAATACAAAATCAGATTTCTTGCACTAATCAGAGATTTAAAGTATGTGTTTTATAAATGTGGTTATTAACTTGGTACAGGTTGCTAACTTTTCTGTGTCTTTTTTTTTTTTTAAAGATTTATATATTTGTGCATATAAGAATTGAGGTACGGGCCAGAGGTGTGGGGAATGAGTGTATTCACCAGAGACAGAGTGGGGAATAGAAGAGGCAGATGTATGGTGTAAATACTGAGGTGAGCAGTGGACGGATCAGGAGAGGTCTGCCAGGCCCTGTGGGTCACCCCCCTGGCTGGGTATTAAACTGGTGCTTCAGTGGCTGTAGACAGCTTCATAGTGCTGTTTTAACATTTGCACCACCAGGGAGGGCCCCTCTGTGTTACTGTTTTATTGGAGTAGAATACTTATAAAATTTACCATTTTTAGTTTACAGTTCAGTGGCATTAATTGCATTCTCAATTTCATGCAGCCATCACGACTGTGTTTCTGAAACTTGTAGTTACCCCAAACAATATCTTTATCCATTAAGTAATAGCTCTCTTGGCCCCCAGATAGTGATAACCACTACTCAACTCTGTGTCACTGAAATTGCCTATTCTGGAAACTCATAAGTGGGATCTTAAAGTACTTGTCTCCTTTGTGTCTGCTTTTTCAGGGTTCCTCCTTGTAGTGTGCATTGGAATCTAATTTCTTGTTATTGCTGAATCTATTGTGTGTGACTACCACATTGTATTCATTTATATGTTGATTGACACTTGGGTTATTTTCACCTTTTGGTTTTTGTGAATAATACTGGTAGGAATTTTGGTATATAAGTCTCTGAGTTCCTCTTTTCAAATCTTTTGGGTTTATACCTAAAAATAAAATTGCTGTGCCAAATTCTAATTTTATATTGAACTTTTTGATGAAGACTTGACAAACTGTTCTCCATAGTCATGGCACCATTTTATATTCCCATTAGCAGTGCATGGAGTTTCCAGTGTCTCCACATCCTCATCAAAGTTGTATTTTGTTTCTTTTTTAATACCTTCATTGATGTAGGTGGTATCTCATTATATTTTGGATTACCTCTTTCCTAATGATTGACCATCTATTCCTTATTCTCCTCTGAGTGTCTACAAGTTTGGCAGACAGCTAGTATTTAACTGGAGTCCACTGTTTGCCACAGTTAACAGATACTAGTTGAAACTACTAGTTATCATTTAAACTGGCACAAGGGGTTAAAGCACAGCACTAAGAAGGTAGCCACAGCCACTCGCAGCATAAGTTCAATCCCTGGCCAGGGAGGTGATCCACATAGCCCAGCAGACCTCCCCTGGCCCTCCCCTGGCCCACCCGCTGCTCCCCTTAGCAGTGTATTTTTGCCTGTTCTTTATTTCCTTTTTATAGTAGTTTCCTATAAACATTCACATAAAGTATAGGGAAATTCATTTATACAAACGATCATTAAATGATTTCTCCCCTGATGATACACCTCAGAGTTGCTTGAGATCATCTGGGAACTTAGTGAAAACAAACAGGCCTTACCCTAGATTTGTCAAAATAAGTCCCTCAAGTGACTAATATTCAGCCTTATTTGGAAATTCATGTACCCCCCTTTAAAATACATTTGTGGGCCTTCCTGGTTGCATGTGGCATTAAGTTTCAGCACTATGAAGCTATACACAGGCACTGCAGCACAAGTTGGATCCCTGGCCAGGCCACATGGCTCAACAGACCTCTCCTCTAGCCGGTGCTCCCCTCAGCGTACTTCAGTAGACCCACCTGTTTTCCTCCCCACTCTGTCTTTGGTGAATACTCTCACTGCCCTCCCCCTGTGGCCTACACCCAGGATCTTGTATGCATAAATAAATAAATCTTTAAAACATGAAATACATTTTATATGTTAAATGAATGTGAACAGAAGTGGAGGACAGCAAAAATAATTTGAATGACTGGTTTCCAGGCACATTAGTTTCGCTAGCAGGGTCAAAGTTATATCTTAACAGAATTACAACATAGATCTCCTACATGACCAGCAAAGACCATGCCAAGACTGCTGTATGCCAATCTGCTCATCGTTTCCTGGCATTTAGGCTCATCAATTCATTTAAATCTCTATTGATACTAATAGAATGACTTTTTGTGCCTCACCAGTCTGTCAAATCTTCTCATATTAAGCTGCATTTTCATTTTTAATGAAATTAAATTTTTTTGTAATTTTATATTTGAATAAATACTATTAGCAGGGTATTTCTTTTAATCATGAAATATTTTGCATTTATTTTATTACCTTCAGACAACAGAATTTCCCATTGGGGTTAAAGAACAACACTGCAAAGTTCGATCTCAGGCCAGGGAGCTGACCCATGTGGCACAGCAGACCTCTTCTGTCTCCCCCATTGCTCCCCTCAGCAGTGCACTTCATTAATCTGCCTGTTCTGCTCCCCATTCTGTCTCTGGTGGTTCCTCTCGCCGCCCCTGCATCTCTGGCCTATACCTCAGTTCTGTATGCATAAATAAATAAATCTTTTTTACAAAAAGAAGTATTACTCCCTTTGTAAAAGCTACCTACATTCAGTCTTCTTAATAGGTAAATATGCTTACCATTTAGGTGCCTGTGGTTCATGCTGGAAGTTTTAATGACAAAGAATGAAAACAATAGCCATGCCTTTATGAAGAAGATGGCAGAGAACATCAAGTTAACAAAGGATGCCCAGTCACCAGATGAATCTAAAACAAATGAAGTAAGATGTGTGTCAGCCAATAAATAGTAGAGCTCTTGTCCCATTTCTTTTTCCTATTATACAACATTTATAAATATAAGTCAGTTTTTACTCATCTCATTACAGTTGCATTGTATAATCTGAGGAATGTTTAATACTCTGAAAAAGATGTTAAACCTGTACAGAACTTATAAAAGTTACAATTCTGCCCCGCTTTATGAACTTTTAGTAAGACTAAGAGGCACATAGATATTCTTGTGTGTTTCCTTTTATTGAGTTTGGTTCATTTTTAATGCTTTTTTGGCATTCATAGTAAATAAACAAGGTGAAGGGTTTTTTTGGTTTATTAGACGGTACTTTGTTTAAATGCCTATATTCAGGCATTGACAACATATTTTGATTTCAGTTTATCCATTAGATAGAATTGGTATTTGTGGTTATCTTGCACCACTAAAAATTACATAGGATCTTTTTTCTTTTTATCCCTAGAAACTTTACACAGTATGTGATGTGGCTCTGTGTGTTATCAATAGTAAAAGTGCTTTGTGCAATGCAGATTCACCAAAGGATCCAGTACTTCCAATGAAGTTTTTTACACAACCTGAAAAGGTATTCTCTTCCCTTCATTTTTCTGCCATACAAAATTAATTTAAATTTCATTTACCATCAGCCCTACTGGCAAGTTATTGGATTGTCTTGACTTAGACAATTAAAGGTGCCTCTATGAGTTTAGTAAGGAATGGAAGATTGTCTTACAAGGCACGTAATCTTACAGACTGGGCCAATTTAATAAATTCGGGGGGGTGAAATTACTAAAATGTTAGTAAACTTGATTATAGTAAATTATTGTATGTCACTGTTATGGTTTATTTGTGTGCTTATTCTTGGATTTGAGATATCAAAGGATAGAATTTGAGCTCTAAGTTTTGTATAGGTACAGTATTCAAGAAAGTACCATTAGTGTTAATCAACTAATTAATCACTTTTGTCAAAAAACATTATATTTTGATGGTGTATTTAATACTTTGATTTGTGCAGTCTGTTTGATTCCAAGGAACAAAATCTTTACTTGAAGTAACAGATTTCTTTTTAATGAGTATAATTTTCCTGAGATCCAATGTGGAGTTCTCAGCATATAACTTTATTGTATTAACTAATTATCCATGTATAGTACCATTGTAGATGCTTTGAGAGTCCTTAAGGCATAGATTTTATAATAATGTAGTATGATGTGAAGAATAAAATGGAGACTGTTCTCAAACTTTAGTATGTGTTATTTAAAATATGATTTAGGATATTTGCCTCTATTATGATTTAGGATATTTGCCTCTATTATCTAATTTTAGTGTATTTGTTAAGACATAATCTTAAAGTGAGTTACACTATGGTTCATTATTTAGTTATTTGACAGATTGATATGAGTTAATACAAATGTGTTACTTGGACAGTAAAAACATGTATGTTCACTTAAGTTTTGGTTTTGTAGGACTTCTGTAATGATAAGAGTTATATTTCAGAAGAGACAAGAGTCCTCTTGTTAACCGGAAAGGTATTATCTACTAAATAAATCTGGGGGTCTTTGTCATGTAATTTTCTGTCTCCTAAATTTTAGAGTTTCTGAATCTTAGATTCAGACTTAACACACTTCTGTTATAGAGTGTTAACAATAAAGCCATCTCGCTGGATTTATTCTGCTACGAATACAGCTGTTTTGGTGAGGTTTGTTTTTTGGCAACAGTAATAGAGTTCAAATTAGTTATAATCAAAAAGGTATTGTCATTTTAGATGTGTAATATTAAAGAAAAGTGTAAGCTGGACATTAAGATATATATTTTGTAACAGTTATGATACTTAGGAACAAAAGGAATTTTTTTTATAAACTTTACCACATTTAGTATTTACATTCAATAGCTTACTTGTATGCCATTTTGCTTTATGTTTCATTGTTTTACAACTTTATTTTGATTGAACAGTAAGAAATAATTAAGTACTACCTAGCTGTCACTAAGTAGAGTTATGATTATGATGATTTATAAGTGTATTCAAGCAAAATTATCATTTCTAACAAATTCAGCATTTTAACTTTGCAAAGTAACAATTCCTTGGCTTAGTATAAATCTCTCTTCCATATGTATCTAAATTTATATGTGTTCCTTTCAGTGAGGTATAAAATAACATATGTTTGTATAATTTCAGCCAAAACCTACTGGAGTATTAGGTGCAGTAAACAAGCCTTTATCAGCAACAGGAAGGAAACCCTATGTTAGAAGCACTGGTCCTGAGACTGGAAGCAATATTAATGTAAATTCAGAGCTGAACCCTTCGACTGGAAATCGTTCAAGGCAATATTTTCCACCATTTGTTTTCATTAACTCGTATTCACTACTTGGTTCATCTTTAAATATAATCCTAAAATATTGTATTGCAAAAAATGGACTTTAGGAAATGTTTTGGGTCAAATAATCATGCTGATTTTTAGTATGATTCGTGGTGGAAATTAATCATGTATTACATTCTTTGGAACAACACAGCTTTCTAAATGTGTTGAAAGTTAAATGGGAAAAGTAGAAGAATTTGTAATATGACTAATTTAGGTGAAATTGTACACCTAGATGTAAGAAAGTTAACACTTAGGAAAACTACAAAAGTTATTTTAAATTGAATCTGTATGTTTTTTTATTTCAAATTAGTTTAGCATGAGCTAAGATAATGTTATATAGCACTTCCTCTTATAATATTATTCCATGTTATATTATTACTGCATAAATTTCTATATGACCCCCCCCCTTAGCAACACTAAATAGTGAGCCTTCAAAAGATTTTACTCTTATGCATGCAATCATGAGAAACAACTCGGCTGATGGTGTTTTAAACACCAGTTACACTCTTCCCATTAAAAGCATTAATAACAAACTGGAGACAACTATAATTGTATTTTATGTTTTTGTTTTAAGATTTCCCAGCCCTAAATGATAGGTTTACAATAGTTGTGTTATTTTGTTTCTTGAAAACTACTCCTTTGAGTGGCTTTAGGTACTCTTTTCTGTCTTACCAATAGTAAGGTTAAATGAAATCAGCAGCATGATAAATAGGACAATCGGTCATCTAACCACAAATCAGAATCTTCCTATCATTGCTTACTTAGCCAGATGTCTAACCCAATCTGAGCCACTGTTTCATATTGGTATAGGGAGGGTGTGATCTTTCTCTTCATGTGCTGAAGGAATCATTGACTTATTTTGCTTCAACAGGGAACAGAGTTCAGAGGCAGCAGAAACTGGAGTTAGTGAAAATGAAGAAAACCCTGTGAGAATTATTTCCGTCACTCCTGTAAAAAATATAGACCCGGTAAAAAATAAGGTAAAATTTTAAATTTAGCAAGTGGATTTCTCCCATAAAAATTCATATGTTGTAATTGCATAGTGGGGTAAGAAGCCATAGTCCATGGGTGAATAGATGCTGCTTATTACATAAGCATGTATGCCGCTTAGCTACACTTACTGTGCTGCTCTCTCAAATGATCCTGCCACACACTCCATTCTCAAACGCTCCCACCTGACACCTTGAAAATAGGAAGTGAAAGATTTTGATATCTTTTAAGTTCATTTACTTTTGACAAGGATCAGCACTCTATTTTGTTATCTATTGCTTTTTTAAAAATTTATTTATTGGCCCTCCCTGGTGGCGCAGCGGGTTAAAGCGCAGCACTGAGAATCTGAAGCCACTTCCGCATGAGTTCGATTCCCGCCTGCCTCCTGCCCCGGAGGAGACCACATGGCGAGCCAGACCTCTCCTGGCCCGCCCGCTGCTCCCCTCAGCAGTGTACTTCGTCCATCTGCCTGTTCTGTTCCCCACTCTGTCTCTGGTGAAGCCTCTCACCGCCCCTGAGCCTCTGGCCTGTACCCCAGTTCTGTATGAATAAATAAATAAATAAAAAAAAAATTTATTTATTTATGCATACCGAACTGGGATATAGTCTAGAGGTGCAGGGGCAGTGAGAGGATTCACCTGAGACAGAGTGGAAAGAGAACAAGTAGATTGATGAAGCACGCTGCTGAGGGGAGTAACAGGTGAGATGGGAGAGGTCTGCTGCACTCTCTGGGGCACCTCCCTGCTGAGACTGAACTTGTACTGAAGCGACTCTGGCCAGCTTCATAGTGCTGCACTTTAACCCGCTGTGCGGGGAGGGGCGAGGGGGCTGCTTTTTCTTTCTTTTCTTTTTTTAAGTTAGAGGTGAACTTTTAAAATGAATGTGGAAAAAAAAAATGTATTTGGGCTTTTGTTTAAATGTATACAAGAACGGAATTAGGCCAGACGTGCAGGGCTCATTGAGAGGATTCACCAGAGAAGACGAGGGAGCAGAGCAGACTGGGGATCCAACTCTGCCACAGTGACTAGGGCTGGCTGGCGCTGGGTGAGCCCTGTGCTGCCAGGGAGCCCTGCACTAGGGCTTCCGGAGCTGCGTTCTACATTGCTGACACTTCCGCTGTGACATCCAAGTATCTGCACATCTCACCTTTGGTTGTGAATTGTTTTCATAGTTTAACTCTTTTGGACTACTGTATTCTTGCTCGTTTGTGCATTATCCACATTCTTAAAATGAGGATTAGCATTAAAGAAATTCTGATTTTTTTAATTTTCTCAAAGTGAAAATTCATGGAAATGGGTAATTTAAGTAATGCCTTAAAACATGAAAGATTTGTGGTATTTTTCCCCCCAGTCATTTGAAAATATTTTCTTAAGAAAATAAAACTTAATTAATTGAAAAGATAATGCAGGACCTCTCTGGTGGCACAGGGCTAAGTCTCAGAGCTATCACTGCTACAGCCTGAGGGCAGTTGCCACCAGGGGCTGACTGACCCACAGGGCGCAGCAGACCTCGCTGGTTTCGCCCACAGCTCCCCTCAGCACTATATTTCAGTTCTGCTTCCCACTCTCTCTCTCTCTCTGGTGGATCCTCTCAGCCCCCCACACCTGGCCTATTCCCAAGTTCTTCAATGCAATAATTTTTTTTTAAAGTAATATTTTGGATGATAGTAGTGTTCATTTCCCTTTGATTAAAATTACGAGTAAAAGTGTAATTCCTAAACATAATTAATTTAAAGGTCAATGAAATTCTGAAAACTGTTCCCTCCGAAATCCATTATGGCTGTTAAAGGTGAAATTTTATTACTTTGAACATTGTATAGTAAATGACTATATATAAAACATGTACTAATCTAGGAGATAAAAAGAAAATGTTCACAAAAAAATGGGTTAATTATTGCTGCAGTAGACTAAGATAAAGAGAAAGAATGAATGCATGAGTAGTGTGAGAACTTATGTCACAGAACTTACAAAGATTATTATGGCTCGATGTACAATAGGAAAAAAACGGCATATTAAATCATGAAAATGACTTTGAAAAGTGATAAATTTAAGGAATACCATCAATGTAAAGCATCTTTTCATTTGAAATGAGTATGATAGAACTGAGATAGGTTTTTTTTTAAGATTTATTTTATTTTGTTATGCATACAAGACTGGGTGGCGGGTGTGACAGGATTCACCAGAGACTGGGGAACAGAACAAGTGGACTGACTGAAACACACTTCCTAGAAGAGCAGTGGGAGAGACAGGAGAGGTCTGCTGTGCCATGTGGGTCATCTCCCTGGCCAGAGGTCAGACTCATGCTGCAGTGGCTGCCACAGCGTCATAGTGCTGAGACTTAACCCCTGCACCACGGGGGGGGGAGGTGTTTCTCTCTTGTATGTAAACTGCCCGTTACTGATATTAGTAAGCACTTGTGTGCATTGTGTGAGCCAGCCACAGGGGTACCTGCTGCACACCGTCCCAGTCCTCAGTTCACACTTGACGTGGCATATACACAGTTAGCCAGAAGCCCTGGAATCCCAACTCCTTTAAGATACTTCAAGATCCTTTTTATAGTATAGATGTTTGTATTTAAGCTGTTTTGTACTCTTCTAGGAGATTAATTCTGATCAGGCTACCCAGGGCAACATCAGCAGTGACCGAGGAAAGAAAAGAACAGTAACAGCAGCTGGCACAGAGAACATCCAACAGGAAACAGATGAGAAGGCAGATGAATCAGGACCACCCACCCCTTCAAAACCCAGGAGAGGGCGTCGACCCAAGTCTGAATCTCAGGGCAATGCAACCAAAAACGATGATATAAGTAAACCTCTTAGCAAGGGAAGAAAGAGAGCTGCAGTCAGTCAGGAGAGCCCTGGCGGCTTGGAAGCAGGTAATGCCAAAGCACCCAAACTGCAAGATGTAGCCAAAAAGGCAGCGCCAGCAGAGAGACAGATTGACCTACAAAGGTAATGTACATTGTTTTCCAGACTTAAAATTTAAGCGTTCTGTTTTATTTCTAATGTGTACCAAACACCTAAGCCTTTCAGAATGAAAATGACTCTTGGTTTTCTCAAGGAGATTATAGTGGTTTGCTTTTAGCTCGTACCTATGTAAGACACCAACTAAAGAGAGATCTCTTCTGTGTTGGTTAATTCTTAATTAGGATATAGTATTTGAATATTTCTCTTTATTAGCAAGAGTAATGGCATCTTTTGCATGGTAACCTTCACAAGATGGCCTGGGGTTTACTTAATAGAAAGGATTACTTTTGAACACAAAGGTCCCACTGTGGAGAAGGTAGAAGTCCTAAGAATGAACAGCTATATTCTCCTCTTACCTCCTTGTTACGATTAACTCTAATACTCTCTCTCCCCAATGAATCAATCTGAGAGCCATTCACTGCTATCATACTCTTAGGCTTAGGATGTCAGATTTTGCACACCATAACTGAGGTCTCAGCTGAAGATCTAGAAGTTAACTACTTTCATGTGTGCCTTACAGTAGAAATTTAGCCACACCCCCTTTTTTTTCCTTGCAGACTTACTCCTAACTCATCTACCCCTAAATTAGATTGAGAACTTCTGAGTTCCTTGTAGCAAAAAGCCATCTTTGATCATCTTAGTTTATCTCCACCATTATGCTTCAGTATTGCTATAAAGTATTGCTGAAGCAAATGTGTTTGTAAGTACATTTCTTTAATTAACCATTAATGAAATCTGTCTCTGGGTCCTCTTACAACATCTCATTGTAGCAGATGCAGACTCAAACCTGATTAACTCACTACAAGTTTTATAACTAATAGAGGTAGTAAAGAAAGCCAGTGTGAGAGAGAAATTTATTACTTTTCTTCTCAAACCTAGATCTCCAACCTGTAACAATGCATTTAACCTCTGTCTCCTTTTCTTCATCAGTAAGACAGTGTGATAATACCTTCCTCAAAGGATTCTTCTAAAAATTAGATGGGTCAGTAAATAAAACGTTTTTAAGTTCCCTTGCACAGAACAAATGGGCAGTAATTATAATAATTATTGTTTTGAATTCTAGGTGTTTTATCCCTTACTGCACTTTTCAATTACACAGAACTCTAAACAGTTGCCTTGGGAATTGTCCAGTTTTTCTAAAAGACTTGTACACTTCTTCTCTCGCCATTCCTCACCCACATACTAGTCCTGACCATCAATCAGGCCACCTAACCCACATGACCTACCTTAGCTATCCTTTTGTCATCTTATCAGAATATGCAGGTGCATACTTGTCAGCCAGACCTCTTCGCTGAATTAGAGCATTCTAAAACCCATTGCTCTACTTTCAGCTCCTTACGTGCCTAAGACTGGTTTTAATTAAAAATAGAATTGTCATCTTAAAATGTCTCTTAACGGTGAAAAAGCACCTTAGAAGTCCTAAGTATGCTAGTCAGTGGATCAGTGGACAATGTGTTATCCAAAACACTGAACTCTCAGTTTTATACTGTCAGTGAAGTTAGATGATTACATTAGATGTTCACGAGTACCTGGTACTGTTAATTCCGTAAAATAGAGCCAATGTTTGTACACTTCAGAAGTGTATGCTGGAGCACTGGCTATAATTCCTCAGAAACAAAACATAGATGTACATTCCAAAACACCCCAAGCTTGCTTTTGTCTTTTCCATTCTCTCCTAACCTTAATATACAAAACTGCCCTTAAATTCTAGCATGTGACATAGGCTTAGAATCCTGTTGTACTGGTCAGGAAACCTGATTTACTCCAGAAACATTACATTGCTCATGATAACGACTGCATAGAACTGGAAACACTATAGCTGCATCGGGATTGTGCCTTGTACTTCTCATTTCATTTTAAACATTTTTTTTTAATTATCACATAAAACAGAATGAAATCTGATACTACAATATGAATGAGCCTTACAGATATGCTCATTGAAATAATTCAGACCCCAAACGACAAATACTGGATGATTCCACTCTATGAGGAATCTAGATTAATCAGATTCATAGCAGTAGGACATAGAATCGGGGTTGCCAGGCCCTCCCTGGTGGCGCAACAGGTTAAAGCACAGCGCTATGAAGCTATCTGCAGCCACTGCAGCACGAGTTCAGTCCCCAGCCAGGGAAAGGAGGGACTAGACACTAATGCTTAATTAGCTTCATTTTGGGAAAGTAAAAATCATCTAGAGTTGAGTTACAGTAATTGCACAACAATGTGAATGTACTTAATGCCACTGAACTGAGTATTTAAAAATGGTTAAAGTGGTCAGTTTAATGTTGCATATTTTATTACGATAAAAAAATCACTACATAAAAAATAGTTAACACTAATATCGTGGTTATTATGGGCTACACTCAGTTTTAAGCCTTTGTTGTCCATTAGATTTTTAAGACAGCTTTATGGAATTAAGTGATTCTTTCACTCCCAGCTTACAAAGAGACCAAGAAACCCAGACATGTCTATATGTAGCTTATATTCCCTTTGTTTGTGCAACTAGTCAGGCCAGGACTTAATCAATCAGTGTCACTCCAGGTTTGTTACTGCTATACAGTATTACCTTTAAGATAAAATCTTCAATTCTACAGGCACCAGAAACTTTAAAAAAAAGAATTTTAGGGCTCTCCCTGGTGGCACAGCTGGTTAAAGCACTGCTCTAAGAAGCTAAAGCCACTTGAGCATGAGTTTGATCCCCGCCCCAGAGGTGACCCACATGGCACCAGAGACCTCTCCTAACCCACCCGCTGCTCCCCTCAGCAGTGCACTTTTTCAATCTGCCTGTTTTGCTCCCCACTCTGTCTCTAGTGAAGCCTCTCACCACCCCTGCACCTCTGACCCCCAGTTCTATATGCGTAAATAATAAATCTTTAAAATTATATATTTTTAAATGACTAGTTTATATATTTGGTAGTTTCCATAAAATAGAATATATTTGCAAAAGTTAAATTTTGTAACAAGTAAAAAACTATTTTTAAGTAACAGGTTAAACCAAACAGACCAGCTATATTATCTTTTAACCTCTTTTAGAGAGTATGCAAACAAAAGTTCCTGTATTTTAACATCAAAGAACCAAGGGATCACATGTTCTTGAAAATGGCAAACAAAATAAATGAAGCAGCCAGTAATTAAGAATATAGGTATAGGGGTTGGGGGCAGTGAAAGGACTCACCAGAGACATAGTGGGGAGCAAAACAGGCAGATTTCCTGAAATACACTGCTGAGGGGATCATGCCAGTCCATTTGGTAGTTAGGTCTATTGGGTCATGTGGATCAGATCCATGGCTGGGGATTGAACACAGACTGTCAAGGCAATATCACTATCAGGGTCTGAGACTTAACCCTTAGACCACCAGGGAGGCCCTATGTTGCCTTATTCTTCATACCTGTTAACTTTGCTAAATTTCTTATTTCTTACTTATGGTCAGTTCCTGCTCTGATTTATCTGTCTCCACAGTATCATCTGAAAAAGTTCTCCAGATCTTGTCCTAATCTTTACTCCATGTAATCTTTTGTTGACCTGAGAATAGGATCTCCTCAAGGTAGCTGGGCTTTACCTTGTGCTAACTCCACCTCTGGAATATGGCGTTATTAATATTTTATGATAACTTTATTTAAACAGCAGAAAACATTTTTGAGCTATAGTTTGAGTCTAGATGCTTTATACTTGTTACCTTGTTTAACCTTAGCCACGTTAGGTAGAACTCCAACTCTTGATACCTGACAGCCTCTGGAGCCCAAATGTGTAGCAAGCACTAACCCTTCCAGAATGCCTTTTAGGCATTTACTAGGTTTTTCTCAACGTATGGTCAGGAGTAATTAATTTTAACTATGATAACAACTTTTATATATAAATTATTCACAAATCGGGGTGAATACATTATCCCACTAAAATGTGGAAAGTATGTACAAAAATTTACTGGCAGATTTTACTTAACTTGGAAGTTGATGCTGAGTATCTTAATTTGTACATTTAACTAAATGTATTTTTAAAAAACAGCTGCTTGCATATTATATCAGGAAACAATGAGCAGCTGGGTAGTTGATGTTGGCTTCCTAGGTTTTAGGTGCAGGGTGATTATCTTTCCCAAAAAATAATTTATTTTCTTCTCATTTTGAGCTTTATCCAAATGGCAAAACAATTTCAAATTTTCGAAGAAAACGTCTTCACAGGTCTGCTAATTCTGAATATGTTTTGCTTATATTTAAGGCCAAATTCTTCCAAAAAAAGATTATCAATAAGCACCTATGGAGAAAGAATCCATAAACTTGGGTCTTCTGGGGAAACTGTAAATTAAAGAAATTATCTATAGGGTAATCAACTATAATTTTCCCATCTTCAGATAATGTGTTTTGCTTTAATATGCTTAGTGAGTATTGAAGAATCTTGGGATTTTTTTTTTTAAAGCATAAAGTTTAGGTGGGTTCATATCTTAAAGTAACCCATATGGGTATCTTCATATGTTAAACTACCATGTGTTAGATTGATGTGAATATTATTAGTAACAAGTGAATTTTTATCAAAATAATATGAAATTTTTCAGAAGTCAAGTGCTCGGAAGTGATGGCGATTCACTTTGGGACATAGAATCAAGTCCAGGAAATTCTTCCAGTGATCTGGATCGTTTAAAAGTCTGTGAGCACAGCCAGGAAGATACTGAGGACTCAGATCTAGTAAAGGGAAGCTTCCTGAAGGTGCAGCAGGCAGCCTGTAGCAGATCCTTTGATATCTTATTAAATTTGTATGTTATAGCAATAGTCTGTGAGAATCGTAATTACCTGACTTGTTCTTTGGCACTTTTATCATTATAAAATGTATGTGCAGTGATGGTTTGGGGAATATAAGTAAACTTACTTATCTTTCTTCCAAGTTTGGAACTTGAAGAGACACAGTCTTAAGACTGCTATGTCTGAATAACGTGTGGAATGATACAGCCCTGGTGACCACTAAGGCCTTTCCCCAGGCTTGAACAAGTCTAGGGGGAAGCTATGCGTGGGTCTTCCCCTCGACCTGGTAGAAGAAATTCTTGCAGCTGCTAGACAGGAGTTAAGTAAGAGAAAAAGGCCATTATTATCCCACCCCCTCATAGTGCCAGTGATCAGAATTTCCCTAGGGAAATAGGAAGAGTGGAGGATTTCTCTTAACTTTTTAACAGTATTAAACTAACTTTTCCTCCTGGATTTTTTTTTTTTTAATATGCTAAAATAAATGTTTGCCCATATCAGCAGTCAGAACCTCTTTTGCTGCTTATGAATTCATTTTGCTATAGTGTCTCATAATTCTTCCATAATATCACTTTGAAAGAATTAATAAAAACAATTTCATATAAATAGCTTTAATGTTGTAAGCAGATTGGGTGGCAATTCATAACAATTAAAAATAAAAATTTCAGTGGTATTATGTTTTTAGATAGTTTAGGGAAAGATTCCTTAAGCCTAGTAAAATCACAGATAAAAATTGGAAGTACTGTAAGATTTTAGAGAATAACTAGAAATGAAATACTGGTTTGTTTAATTTTCCTGTTTACAACTTTTCTAATCTTGCTTCCTTCTGCTCCTATCTCCAAGGTAAAAAGAAAAATCATTTGCAAAGGGAGAAAATGAAGGCCAAACAGAAGCAGACTCCAGCTTCTGCAAAACCTTGGATTCAAAACGTCCCTGAACAGGAAATGAAGTTAACTTCAGACTACACACTTTCTGCCTTGAAAACTGAAAGAAACTATACTTCCTTTCCACGTGACCACAAGTCCTTTGATGGAAATGTACAGCAGAAACTCTCGAGAGAGGCTAAAAGCAACTCTGTTCTACCTTCCCCCCTTCCAGACTTTTCTTCTGAAAAGTCAATAATTAAGCAAATTGCTTAACACTTGGTTCCAGTTCTGCATATCTGGAGTTGAAAGGCATAATACACCATTAATTTCCATGCTGCAGTTTTTAATTTTTAAGAAAGTAACAGGATGTCCTTACACTGACATTGAAAAAAATCATCAGTTTTAGAGCCAGGAATTCCCGTGTTACACAAGAAAAAATAGAAGTCTACTGAATTAATTTTTTAGAAGAAAAGAGATCAGATTAAATATTTCTTTGTTTTTCCTTTTGGAAACTTTTATGTATAATTCTTTCTGCCTGCCTACTTTTCTGCAAAAATGAGATGTACAGATTTCAGTTCCCTGCTATGAAAAGTGACGTGGTGGCAATTTTATAAATGTCGCTTTCTGATTTTTATCAGAGTGAGAAGATAATTAAAATTATTATTGATTTCATATCACTTCATATTTTGATTTCCCCTCCATTTTAGTTAATATAATTTGCAATAAATGTACATATTATTGTTTCATAAAGCATATCACTTTAAAATGGTCTTTACTCCTGTGATTATGTTGGAATATTTGGAATTTTAAAGGAGCAAAGACTGTCCAGCATTTGGTTTTATAATGTTTGTCACCAGATTTTTATTATTGATGTAAAAAAAAAAGTCAATTTTTTTAAATAGTTGGAGTTCGGCAGCTTTGTGAGGAAAGTTGGAGGTGTTAGGGTTGCTACCAATTTTCAGCATTGTGCTATTGGAAAAATAAGTGTTTTGCTTTTGTCTGCCAGTCTGGGCTCAGTTTTTCTGTTTATTTTAGAAGACAACTGTTGCAACAATATATTGTTTCTTGGCATTGTTCAGCATAGGCAGTGTGTACACTGTTGGTGTGCACATAATCATATTTAAGTTTTTTGCATAAAATAAATGCTTATAGATGTCATATGGTAGTCTTTTTTAATCTTCATCATGTTGTGAATTTTTTATGTGAAAGGGCTAAAGTCATAAAGAGAACATGATTACAGTCAACTCTCCATTATCTATAAAATAGTGACTGCCTCGAGTTGTTAATTTTGTGGTCATCATAAATGTGATAAAGGCAGACTACAGGAGCTAGGGCGGGGGGGGGGGGCCCTTCCTCAACACTCACTTGTAACCTGCCTCCACTCTCCAGTTTAGGTCCTTTCCTAAAGCCCTAGCAGAATGTGCCCACTCCATTTCCTGACATACGCCTAGTGTCTGTCAGAGCATGTAGAGGTTTTGTGTTATGTCTTGTTAGGCTTTAGTCTATAGAGATGGAACAGTGCAAGGACGCTGGGTCAAAAAGAACAATTGTGCCATGGTGGCACAGGGGCTAAGCATCAGCACTATGAAGCTAACCGCAGGCACAAGCAGCCCTCTCCTGTCTCGCCTGTTCTCCCCACTGTCTCTGGTGAATCCTCTCAACATCCCACTCTACCCCACCTCATCCCCCACTTCTGGCCTATACCCTAGCTCTTAGATGCATAAGTAAATCTTTAAAAAAAAAAAAAAAAAACAGTTAATTAAGATTGAAATTTGCTGGTAGGTAGTAAATGTCACTTACATTCTCATAGATAATAAAGAGTTGACTGTTAATGATTCTGAGTGAAACATGGGTAATTCTTTAAAATACACACATACACACATTTATACATTGGATAATAGGGAACAGTGACTCCCATTAATAGAAAACAGTATCTTTTAAAAGGGTAGAAAAAGCCCTCTTATTGCCTCCTGCATTCCTTCGGAAGGAAAGTATAAAATATTGCCTCCAACTTGCTAAAGAAAAAAAATCTATGCAGAAGCATCAGAAAAGTCCCTCAGGAATCAGTGGGCCTAATCTACTTAGATGGACTTTAAAGTTCTCTTAGCATCAGACAGCTTGATTCTTAAGGCCACCACTTTGTCACCGACAAAAGCACACTTGGTAGGAACCTTCCTTTTGCGTCTTCAGCATTAGCCTCACAGCTCACTAGATCACCTGTATTGTCATATTTTAACATAATGTTGCAGAAATATTTGCTTTGGTTTAAGGCTTAGATTTTTGCAGGAGAGGAGTTTGCGTAAAGAATCTGGTCCTTTCGCCCCCCCCATTGGTTTTGTTACCTGACGCAAGTGTCTGGCACTAAGGGAAGGGAGAGTAGGTGATGGATAAAGCTGATGGGGAGGGACTTGCTCAAGGGAAATGTGTCAGTTTTCCTTTGTAAAAGGAAAACAGATTCCCTAAGGATTTGGTACTCACATCTCAGAGAACTACAACACAAAGTGCAGACTTATATTTGAGAATTAATTGTTAACCCTTTGTCTAGTTTGAAGCTTCTTGTATTTGTCTAAAACTACAAGCCAGAATTTTGTATCTCCTTTGATAAAAAGTGTGTATAATGTAAAGTAGTTTTGCATATTCTTGTGCTGCACATGGGCTGAATTTTTAAAAAAATTTTTTTTAAACTTGAAGCAGAATCTTGTAATTTGTGTAAATGACAAGTGTAAAATCCTACGATAAAATGCTAAAAATATGCATTGTTTCAAATAAAACTAAGAAATGCAGCATTATATAATAGTGTGGAGCCCTGAATATTCATGTACCCCTGGTATGTCACAAGCTGATAAAATGTCTTCGCATATTTTCTGTTTATATCTGGGGTCTGTGTATCCTCGTAAGGAAGCAGATGCCACCTTCTTGCTTCCTGGTACATACCCGAGTCTGGCTCACAGTCATGGAGGGGCGACCATAGATGGCAGTATCTATTGGGAAGCTTTTTAAGATTTTTAAAACAAGAGTAGCCTTTAGTCATACTCATACATCTACTTATCACAAATTTGGGACATGTATATTTAGTTTATCAGCTAGTTCTTGGAGAGCAAACATTCATAATGTATCTGCAATCAATAAGAGGCAAACAGGATGAAAAACTGTCATTCCTGGCTCTAATTTACCCTTAATGGATTTAACACTCAGCATCTGGGTGCTTAAATTGTCAACACCTGTGTCTTCACTATCATGAATAAACCCAATCGAAACCATTGAAAGCCAGTGAATTCCCATCGCCTGCAAGCTTTGCAGCCTAATAGTAGTAAACAGCCAGTGACAGTGTTGCCTACAAGACAGCAATGTACACGTGGGGATGAGTGTGCATGATCACACGCTCCTCAGCCTGTCCACCACTTAACATTTTTAATTCCCATAAGAGAAAACCTTCCCCGTGATGTGTCTTCTTTCAAAGTACAACAGCAGAGACCGAGCGGGAGTGGAGGGCGGTTGGTGTTTAAGTCTCAGCACTATTATCGTCACAAGTTCATCACTAGCCAGGGAGCTGACCCACATGGCACAGCAGACCCGTCTCACCCACTGCTCCCCTCAGCAGTATTATTTCAATAGACCCACCCTTTCTGCCCTCCACGCTGTCTCTGGTGACTCCTCTCATCACACCCCACCCACACACATACCTCTCTGGCCTACACCCCAGTTCTTGTGCGCATATATTTAAAAAATAAAACATTAAAAATTACAACAGAAACATGTACAGGTTCCCAACTCTAAGGAACCTGAGCCATGCTGGTTATCAGGACTTCAGTTTGGGAATGTTTCTCAAATAACATCAATACATCAACTCTGGTGGCCAACTCAAGGCACCTCATTCATTACCCTGTTCTCTAGCAAAATAAATAAATAAATGAGTAACAAGCACTCTGGGCCCTCTATGGGCCCTCCATGGTGGCACAAGGGGTTAAGTAGCAGCACTTATGAAACAGCCACTGCAGCACAACTTCTACCCCCAGCTCAGGAGCTGACCCACAGGAGAGGCATGGCAGGCCTCTCCACACCCACCCACTGCACCCCTCAGCAGTGCATTTCAGCAAGTCCACATGTTCTGCTCCCCACTGTCTCTGGTGAATCTTCTCATCACCACTCCCCCCACCCCGAATCCTGTACCCCAACACCTCTGGCCTACAGCCCAACTCTTTTATCCATGAATTTTAAAAAAATGTTCTGAAAAACATCCAGTCCTCTTAGGAAATAGCACAGTCTCCATTCTTTCAGGAGAAACTTGAAAGATCAGTAACACAGGCTGGGCCATAAGTAAGGTCCAGATCTGTGGAAGTCAGAACATCTGCGGGTAGGGAATAGCCATTTGTTTTCACTGCATGTATCTAGTCTGCACAGACCAGGCACAATGCCTGGGACTGACATTCAAAGCCTTAAGGTTGATGACTTAGAAGGACTCATAACATAGGGACCCTCCCTGGTGGCACATCAGGTCAAAGCACAGCACTAAGAAGCTATTGGCAGCCACTGCAACACAAAGTTCCATCCCTGGCCAAGGAGGTGACCCACATGCCGAGGCAGATCGCTCCTGACCCACCTGCTGTCCCCTCAGCAGTGTATTTCAATCAGTCCTCCACTGCTCCCTACTCTGTTTCTGGTGAATCCTTTCACCCCCCACACCTCTAGCTTGTACCCCCATTCTGTAATCATAAATCTTAAAAAAAAAAAAAAAGACTCATAAAGCAAATAGCACAACACTGGCAGCTGAGACTATTCCTGATGATGCATTGACTTCAGTGCCCTGATGTAACAGTGGAAAAACCTGTTTAGAGAAATGCAGTTGTGTGAACCCTTGTAAACATGCTTGTGGGCTGAGCAAGCTGCCTCCTCAGACAGCCTAGAAGGCCATCCCACCCCCAAGCACAAACTCGGAGTGTATTAATTCCTGTGGCTTCCTTTAGACAGACTAACTCTAGGGCTTGGGTAGGCTTCTCCAAGAAGCAAATTTTCTACAAACTTCAAGGGTCCCTGAAAAAAACCACTTCAGTTTTCTGGTCCTTTTAAAGAAGAGATTACCCACTTGTCCCCTACACGCCTACCCCAAACACTCCTGAAATCCTTTTCTTCAAGGACATTGTGGCCGTTTCATGTCTGGTCTCCTCTGCTTAGTGCACTGTACACTCAAAGACAAGGGTCTGCAGCAGCGACAGAAGGGAAACATGCCCCTTTGGCCTGAGGGCTGAACTGAAAGACAGAGGCTGGCTGGGGCCTCCCTCATGGCACAAAGGTTTGAGTCTCAGTGCTATGAAGCCATCTGTCTAACCCACTGCTCCCCTCAGCAGTGTACTTCAGTCAGTCTGCTTGTTCTGCTTCACTCTGGTGAAACCTCACCTCCTCCACACCTCTGACCAACCCTCAGTTCTTGTATGCATAAATAATCTTAAAAAAAATAAAGAGGCTGGTAACCCTAAAATTACCTGAGTTGTGCAGTGCAAGCAGGCGCAGGGCAGGTTCTCCATTCTGGTGACAGGTAAAGGAGAGTCCGGAGCCGTCAGTGGCTTTTCGGGCCTTAATGGGAGGCAAGCCCACAGGCTGCCAAGGCAGGGGGCGGGGGCGAGGAGGCCCATAGGCCTCCCACCCCCAGAGAAGCCGCACTCTCTTTGGCCTTCTCCTTTGGTTTCCTCCGCTCACAGTCATTCTCCACTGCAGCCACCTGCAGCTTGACGCCGCCTTATAGCCCCCAGGCCCAGGTGTGCACCCTGCGCATGCCCACACCGCACTCCAGGTGTCTGTGATCAGGCATGCGTGCCCAAGGCCCACCCTCCCAAGGACCGTCTGCATTCAGGGCCCAGGTGAGAGCCATATGGACCAGAACCATACAAGCCCGACCAATTCACTTATCCTACACTTGTGACCATTTTACGGAGACTTAAAAAGGTAGTGTGGGGGGCCTCCCTGGTGGTGCAGAGGGCTAAGTCTCAGCACTATCAAGCTATAACCAGCCACTGAGCAAGAGCTCTATACCCGTCGGGGAGCTGACCCACATGGCACAGCAGACCTCTCCTGTCTCACCTGCTGCTCCCCTCAGCAGTGTTTTTCAGTAGATTCACCTGTTCTGCTCCCCACTCTACCTCTGGTGAATCCTGCCTCTCACACATACACACCCACACCTCTGGCCTACACCCCAGCTCTTGAATGCATAAGTAACATAAATCTAAAAACAATTAAAATGTAGTATAACAGGCCAGAGTCTCTATTTTTCACCATTCTGGTGTTTGGCCTGTCAATATAAGCTTATAATGATGGAGACCAAGGCTTACCTCTTCAGAAGTCCTGGGTCAAAACTAGCAAACTAGGCCAATCCCATTCCTCACACGCATGCAATAGGGAGCCCTAACCGATCACAAGACATCCACGACACCATGCAGTAAAGCAGGCCTCGCATCTGCAGAACTGATTCAGAGGAAAATGTCACAGAGATTTTATAAACTCGAGTATGACGTCACATCCAGTCTCCTGCTAATTCACCTTTTCACCTCAATGGCAGCACAAAAGGTAAAGCAGCTCGGGCCAGTTATCTATCTTACTGATCGTTCTGGCATTATGTTTTGAAGGTCAGAATTA